TGTGTGTGTGAGAGAGAGAGGATTGTGTGTGTGTGTGAGAGAGAGAGAGGATTGTGTGTGTGTGTGTGTGTGTGTGTGAGAGAGAGAGAGGATTGTGTGTGTGTGTGAGAGAGAGAGAGAGAGAGTGAGTGAGTGTGGGGCTGGATTCTCATTTTGTCGTTCTCTCTCTCTGTGAGTAGCACCAATATCCCAGCCTTAACCAATCAGCTTCTGTGCTTTGGTGAGTGCCATGTATGAGGTATAAATGACACCGAGAGGATGAAACTGAGTGAGTGAGTAGAGAGCGAGGGACTGTCAGGGAGTGTGTGTGTGTGTGTGCAGGGACTAGGGTGGGGGTGGCGGGAAAAGTGAGTACACAGTGAGTGAGCACTCAGAGCAGAGATTGAGGGGACAGAGAGAGAGAGAGAGAATGGCCTCTGACTCGGACAGTAATGCTAACTGGTGCGAGCCCTCTTCCCTGAAGCGGGGTGACCTGCTGGAGGTGTCCCGCACTCTCTTCACTCACTATGGGATTTATCTGGGAGGACAGAAGGTGGCTCACCTGATGCCCGACATCCTGCCCTTGTTCACCGATGACCAGAAGCTGATCCAGGAGGTAGTGACCAACCAGCGCCTGATCCTGGGCGTTATCTGCAGGACGGCGAGTATCCGGGTGGACTCGGTGGAGGATTTTGCTTATGGAGCCTGTATCCTGGTGAACCACATGGACTCTATGTGCAAGAGCCCTGTGCTTCCCGGGGAAGAGGTGGCGAGGAGAGCAGAGAAACTGGTGGGAAGCACAGAGTACAGCCTGCTCTGGAACAACTGTGAACATTTTGTCACTCACTGTAGGTACGGCACCGCAGTCAGCATCCAGACTGACAAGGTACAGTCCCCAGGGTACAGCCGGCCTGAGCATTAACCTTTACTGAGTCTCTTCTTTAGATAAAATGCATTTTCATTTTCTGCAATCCTGTTTAACCTCTTAATCTCGCCAACTTTATTTCCATCGGCGTTTATTGTTTTAACTTCAATTCAGATAGTTTGCCTATTGAAAGGTTGTGGTTTGGGGAATCAATGGGAGGCTTATCCTGTCTGCAGTAAGTCCGGACGTTCTCTTCTAATAGTAATTAATGATTGGCAAATGCTTTAGATTTGAAACTAAAGTGGCATGCACTCGTAAAGGAAATGGTTTCTGAAAATACCTTCGAATACTTCCCTGGACGATATAGACCAAAATTGCCCGCTTTGACCGAGCGCAAATTTCTATGTTTTCCCTGAAAGACCAGCAGCAGGGACTGAGAACAGTGCAAGCACGTGGTATCAGCTCCCTTTGGACACTAGAGCCTGTAACAGGAACTGGGAAAGACATTGGGCAAGGCGTGTGACAAAATCAGCGGCGTGTCTACAACGCACTCGGTTCTCTAAGTGAATACACCTTGTGTTCAAGCAGAGAAGTGCACTGGGTTCCCCACCACAATTTGTCAGGAGCAAAATGATCCCTGGCAGGGGTTTGCAAAATAATTTCTAGCGATTAGCTGCATTAGCGCCAGTGTAGGTGATCGCTGTTGATCATTCGGAAAGGTGACTTGAAATGTTAGGGACAGCTCATTGGTAAGCAGGCAGGTAAAGAAAAAGATTCGTGTTTTAACTACACAGCGTCCCATTGGGATCCTGGTGGAAATTGTATCGATGATAGGGGGAAGGGGAGAAAGCGGTGCTGAGTTGTAAGATCAGCCACAACAGCAATGAACGGCGTTCTCCTGCTGCAGTTTTCCATATTTCTGTTTCGTCCGATCCGTCCTTCAAGGTTTTACCTCTACTCTTCTGCTGAGGAAAGTCTCACTTGGTCTTGCACCGTTTTCTCATAGTCTCAGAGGAATATAGAGGCATAGGGTCAGGCAGCCAGAACTGGACCCTTCGGTCCAACCAGTCCATGCCGACCATAATCCCAAACTAAACTAGCCCCCACCTGCCTGCTCCTGGCCCCTATCCCTCCACACCTTTCCTATTCACTAAGCGGCAGCGCTTTGAAAGCTTGTGATTTCGAATAAACCTGTTGGACTATACCTGGTGTGGTGTGACTTCTGACTTTGTCCACCCCTGTACAACACGGGCACCTCCACATCATATATTTATCTATGTATCTTTTAAACATTCTAGCTGTGCCCACATCCACCACTCCCCCAGGAAGTTCATTCTACACGGGACGGCTTTCTGTGTAAAAAAAAATGCCCTGCATGTCCTTTTTAAATCTCTCTCCTCTCACCTTAAAAATGTGTCTCCTACTCTTGAAACCCCCATTTTAGGGGGAAAAACACCTACCATTAACCCTCTCCATACAGCTCAGGATTTTATAAATCTCTATAAGGTTACCTATTAACCTCCTAGGCTGCAGTGAAAAAAGTCCCAGCCTATCTAGCCTTTCTTTATAACTCAAACCTTCCATACACAACAATATCCTGGTAAATCTCTTCTGAACCCTCCCCAGCTTAATAATTTCCTTCCTATAACTGGGCGACCCAAACTGGACACAGTATTCCAGAAGAGGCCTCACCAATTTCCTGTACAACCTCAACATAATGTCACAACTCCTACACTCAAAGGACTGAGCAATGAAGGCAAGTGTGCAAACACCTTTTTAACTATCCTGTCTGTATGTGATGCAAACTTCAAAGAATTATGTACCTGCATCCCTAGGTCCCTCTGTTCTACAACACTACCCAAGGCCCTACCATTAACTATATAAGCCCTACTCTTGTTTATTGTACCATAATGCAATACCTCACATTTAACCAGATTGGATGGAGTGCAGTTTTTTGCAATATGACCATCGATATTGATATCAATGCAATGCCTTCAGCCAACCTCTGATCTAGCAAGAATCCGGAGCCCACTTTACTGAAACCAAACATTAGGCTGAAGCAGCACAATCACAGGCTCTGAATTCAACAACCATTACATATGAGATACATATATACACCACACAGGAAAAGCATAAGGTCCATCCACTCACTCCATGGAGTTATTTATGTTTTACTTCGGCCTCCTCCATCTTTCTTCATCTAAATCAATTATTGTAACTTTGACTTTTTTATTGCAAAAATATACTCATAAATTATAAGTACATATAAAGGTCAAAAGCAGAAACTTTGCAGAAAAAGATACCGTGGAATTTGACATTCCTCATCCTGTTGTAAACAAAGGCATTTTCTAGTCGTGCAATGAAACTATTTACATTCCTGCAAAGGCAGCAAGAGGGTCTCAGAGCTTAACAGACCCTTGTTATATTTGGCAGAAAGACTGTAGATGGTGGTCTTTACCAACTGCGTCTTGGCAGCAGCTGCCCAAACTTTTTTGTAACTTCAATATACCTGTCTAACGTCTCCTTAAATGCCTCTGTACTATTGATTTCAATCATTCTCTGTGATCGTGAGATCCAAATTCTCATCACTGTTTGGGTGACTGCAATTTTTGATGACTGTCTTAGATTGATGACAAGCTGTTCCTCACAAGAGGAAACTTTCTGTCTGTATCCACACCATGGAACCTTTCACCATTTTCAAGACCTTGAATTGGTCTCTCCGCAGTCTTTTTGAGAGGACAGAGCCAGCTGTTCAGTCCCTTTCTGATGTGAATGCATTTACATTTCTGGTATAATCCTTGTAAATTTTCTCTGCACTAACTCAAGTGCCTCCTTTCTAACATGGCACATAGTACGCTGAGTGTGATCTAACCAAGTTTCCATTCAGGTTTAGTATAACGTTCTACATTTCAATTCTACCAAAAAAAAGACTCGCAATTTTTGCAATCACCAAACAGCCTTACAACCATTAAAGTACCTTTTGAAGATTAACCACTCTCCTAATATAAGAAACACATTTAGCACACAACAGACTCCCAGAAACTGTAATGTGATAATGGCCAGGTTAACTTATCTTTCATGGTGTTGATTGAGTATCAGTGTTGGCCAGGATGCTGGGAATACCCCCAGGGTCATAGTGAAATACTGTTCTAGACAGGCAGCTGGGGATTTGTTTTAACATGCAGCTGGAATCCAGCACATCTGAGGGTGCAATACTCACTCTGTACCATACAGGAATAAATCAAAGCCACACAAATGAAAATTTGATTCACACAAGTCAACCACTTGTGTTTCTCTCATTTGATAATCCCTTTGGTGTTCCTTGCCTGGAGAGAACTTTCAATGTTAGAATTTGATGACTTGTTACCATTTGTGCTTCTTTCAGCAAGTATCATTGCATTGTAGTTTGTTTTTGTCCTTTCTGAACTGCCTTTGGCACTTTGTTGGTACAATGTTTCAGTGCATTGCCTCTTCCCAGAACAGTCTGTTCACAGCTGCTACTTCCCAGCGAGGAAATTCATTTTTAGCTTGCAAATTCCTTCGATATTTACACTTGGGAGAAAGTTGAGTACAATTGCATGTGACGCTTGCTCACATCTGATGGGACTTTGTTCATTCATCTCAGAATCAAGTGCACTGTTTCGTTAAATAAAAATTGCACAAAAGTTACATTATAGACATCATTTTGTCTTTGGCTATAATAACAACATTACATATTGCTACTAGGTCTTCCCAAGACATACTTGGATATAATTTTCAGACCTATCTTTGATAGACTCACTCATCCAACATTTGATCAGAAATTTTTTGTCAGAAAGAACACAAAATAGAAGGACAGCAACAGCACTTTTCTGTTTCTTAATCAGGTGCAGTTTTAAAATATATATAAAGATTCATTCATCTGAATATATCTATCCAGGCTCCTAACAGCAGTTTTTTGCATTAGGAGAATAGGAAAGGACTTTGCATGTTGTAGGATTGAAAGAATTGAATCATGCAAGTGATACAGTAGAAATAGCCACAATTTCTTCAGTCTATGGTAATCCATAGCTTTACTATTATTTGACAGAAGAAGCAAAATGGTCAGTGATCATTAGATCCATGATCGTACTGAGTTTCTAGTTATTGACTAAAAGCCAAAAGAATTGCGGATGCTGTAAATCAGAAACAAAAACAGAAGTTGCTGGAAAAGCTCAGCAGGTCTGGCAGCACCTGTGAAGAGAAAATCAGAGTTAATATTTCGGGTTAACTGAGTTCTGAGGAAGGGTTACCCGACCTGAAACATTAACTCTGATTTCTCTTCACAGATACTGCCAGACCTGCTGAACTTTTCCAGCAGCTTCTGTTTTTGTTTCTGGTTACTGACACCCAAGTCAGAAACTCATAGATTGTTGTGGAACACTGATTGTAGCCCGCATCTCTACCCAAATTCCACTGGACCATACCATTTTCATGCAGAAGTAGATATCCTGCGGTGACTCCAAAGTTATTCATCTGTTACTTACTTCCACGGCATCATCCAGCAAGGACTGGCTAGGGCTAAGAAAGTAATGTGAGCTCATGGAGGAGGAAGACTGAGCTGAAGGTGAACAAAAAGCTTGGAAGCTCAAGTCAAATACTGGTGAGATTTTAGTCTGTAACTTAGTTTACATGGGAGGCAGTGGTCTAATTGTATTATCGTTAGATTATTAATCCACAAAATTGATTAATATTATGGGGACCCGGGTTCAAATCCCACTATGGCAGTTGGTGGAATTTGAATTCAATAAGGGATCTGGAGTTAAAGGTCCAATGATGACCACGAAACTATTGTTGACTGTTCAGAAAAATCCATCTGATTCACTAATGTCCTTTAAGGAAGGAAATCTATTGTCCTTACCTGGTCTAACCTACATGTGACTCCAGACCCACAACAATAAATGCTGGCCTGGCCAGAGATGCTCACACACTGTGAGTGAATAAAAGAATGTGTGGCCTTACCTTCTAATGGACCTGTTTCAGAGTGTTTTGCATTATTAAGG